AAATCGGGAAGGGTGAGTTCCGTTAGCGGTCGGTGTGTGTTCCTCAACGAGTGTTAATATCTCCCGACCTACCTCGGCAAGACAACGAGCTCGTGGCTCAATGTTTAAAAAGGTTAAACTCTGATCGAAAAGGATGCAAGTTCGAGCTTTAGGTGGTGCACCGTTTGGGATTGGTAACGACTGGCTCACGACGACTCATGAGCTATAGATGGCCATTCCAGTCTCCATTATCTTTGTCAGCAATACTATCCACACGGAGTCGGCCTACAAAAGTACCTATTATAACAATTTATAGGAGAGCAAATCAATGGCTTTAGGAAGCACACTTGGTACGGGACGAATATGCGTAGCTCTCAAGAGTGCATTTGGAATACAGTAAAACAAACACGAAAAAATGCAATTTCTTCGTTTTTATATATTTAAGACTGTGTTTACTCTTTAAACAGTCATATATTGTCACCCTTTCCGTATTACCGGTGGCCTTGCGCTTTAGTTCAAAAAGCAGTAAACGTGTCGGGTTTGGACCACGCGTTCACCTAAAAAGTTATAATTCCGCGATTTTTAGCTTCAAATGCCAAATGGGCAACAGTAGTTTATGTAGTGTACCTCATATACCCCTGGTTCCAGCATTTTGTCCTACGGAAACAGTGGTTATAGGGGTTTTATGGGTGGGGAATAAGGAGTGGAATAAGGCAGTGGAATATACTTTAATATCTGATATATGCATTTTTATTTTATTGTATTGAGAAACGTTGTTGATTTATATCTGTAGATTTTCCTAATCTGTATTATCGTTTAACGTAGTGCGGAAAAACCCAAACGCAGATTTCTTGAAATTCCTGAAAAAAATATCAATGGGGGTTAGGCGGTGGTCTACTTCAAGTTATCTAGGGTCTGACTTACTATTCTGGAGTAACATTAGTATAGTCCGCGGCGCGAAGAGCCTCGCGCACCTTCGATTTACATGCGAAACAACTTACTACCAGCAGCCACGGAAAACAAATTAAAGTACATTTTTTCACTTACGCCTGCAAATTTCCTTATTTGCCTATCCTACTTCCTCACCCCAGAACACCTATAACCACCGTTACCGTAGGACAAATGCTGAGACTAGGGGTATAGGAGGTATACTACTTAAACTACCTTTGTCACCAAATGTATTCTCGCATTCAGATGCGAGACAATGACATGAGGATTGTATGTCACATCTATCGTCAGTCAATTGATCAAGTATGTATTGTTACGGTGGAATCTGACGTGTGTCACCTAACAGTATGACATACTGTTGTAAACCCATTTAGTTTACTGTCCAGAAGGTGGTCCTGGATGCACACATTTCCCCTTCTACCGCCTCACCAGGTCATCGTCTTTTTTGCCTCGCGCTACATTGCCATGGTTTCGGATTGAATAGAATACGCCCACATTTTTTGGCTTCTACATATATCGCCAAGCGGCTTTGTCTGCTCTACCTGGGCGTGCCAAAGTTTCTAACCCCCTCTTCCACTAATCCTGCCTATTTTTAGTCAGTACCTATTTGTGCTGCAAAAGGGAGAAAATAAGAAGGAAAATATGGCATACTAATGTTCCTAGTAAAGTTTCAGAGCTTTATCAGGAGTCAGTGCATGAATGGTTCAATCGGCAATCTTCCCTGGAACACACCGGTTACCTTGTGACTATATTATCAGAGTTTGCAGATTAACGTTCTTGATTCGGAATTCCAATTAATCACCAAGGGAATTCTGTAGTTTTCATTAATCACCTTCGGCAAACAAATAACGCCAAGACTTTTGAAAAATAATTTATGGGGCCTACCTCACAACTTATACAGGCTTTTACTGCAAAACTTGTTTTCTGCAAAAATAAATTCTCTAACAGTTTGCTTCAAAATTGCTCTGAACACAAATGACACACTTGGACAAACAGATGTGCTACAGTCTACACAAAGCAACTGTGCCTTATCTGCAAGCTTCGCAGATAATGTGGAAATGTGCGTGTCCCAAAATGAGGCGTCTGTAGCTGACTGATATTTTTGTGAAGATGTAGTTCGCTTAGTCTGCAGAAGTGGTAAAAAAGAGGAAAACCGTATGGCTTAACCGATTAGTTTTGAAAGGGAAAATGAGTAAGGATTAAATGAGCCAGGGTCAAACGAAAGACAAAGCAGAAGTAGCTCAAGCCGTAAGTGTTCTGTATACTGATTAGTTACAGCAAATGTACTGCTTCTCTCCACGGATAACAGAAATGAAGCAGTGCTTGGAAAGCGTTTCTCATAAACGGCATTGTGTAGAAATAAACAACTAAAGGTTTTTCATATTCCCATTTAGTTTAACAATCAAAACTAACAGTAAGTGCACTAACTCATGAAATATGTTCGATAACGCAATAAAAGTCGTTTTGCGGGAAGTCAGCACACGCGGCGTGCCCCAAACTGTAATAGCAGTAAAGTAAGAACCACAGTTTAAAAAAGTCAGAGTTTAGTTGAGAAATTACTATTTACTAGCATAAAAAAAATTAATTTTCACAAAAATCTGCAAACTCAGGTAATGACAATATTAAAATTCACTGGTCCCATGTGAAAAATAAATATGTTTAAGGCATGGGAATGGAAAAGAATGGCAAGTTAATCCAGAATAGGTAAAATACAAAATTTTTACAAGTTAATTTGTTTCCAATAACATTTAAACTTGCATTAAATGTGTCAGAAATGGATGTGGTCACCTTAACTACCGTTTTTTCCCAATGTGGATACTTCGTAAACATTTCCGTTTTTAATGCACGAAAAGATTCTTGCGTGCTTTGTATCAATTTCTATTGACAATCGCAAAGAATATTTTCTATGGAAATCATATCCCGGCTGTTGAACGGAATACAAATAGATTGACTGCCACACACGGATAGGCTGGCTGTTTACTAAAAAGTTGGATTACGATTGTACTTGTAACCAAATTCATACTATCTTGTGTATATTGAAAGAAATTTCCGTTTATCACATTTAAAAAAAATATTTCGAGAGTTCGAGTGCGACGAGCAGCAAGCTGTTTTCGAAATTCTGCTGAACACTTTACGAATTTCACTGTTTTGCTTTGT